TGAAAACAGTATATTCGATTAAATTATCGTTTTAGTATAAAAAAAAAACTGATATCGAGGATGGGTGACTAAAGAATAGCGACGTCAGACAGAGGTCCTGCTTTTATATCTTTATTTAAACAATGTGTACCGATCCGAGAAATAGGTACATGCAATCTTATTACTGTGTAGCACAAAAGAATGTGGAAAGGATAATGGGGCAAATAGGATATTACTTTCTAAATTATAAAGTTTTATTGTTATTTGATGAAGTTTTTAATACTATCGTCCAAGAAATTAGTTTGTGTATTTTTTTTCATTTCAATATACAAGATATGTTTTAATTTGAACCGGTCCAATTAGATTTCCAGGTTGCTAAGTTTGTTAAAAGTGTAAAATATCAATTCTGTATTCTTAATCCGTCACCACACGGATTGTACTGTATATGTAATTAGAAAGCGTAAAGAATAACTTTAGGAGGTATAACTTTATATACCTGAAACTTCTCCATAATATTACACCAGGTCAATAATTTGTTATTTATTGTAATTGCTATGTGATATTCTTGTTTAAGATCCATGTTATTAATAAATAAATAAATGGTCTTGTAGTTTTAAAGTATGGTGGTTTAAGTTGTTTATATGGTGTCATTGCTATATGTGTTGCACACAACGTCTAACGAAGAAATTCTTTAAAAATAAATTAACTATCTTTCGATCTGGGAGGTATAAGCTTGATGTTTTTTATTACCGTTGTTATCAGATTATATTAAGTTTTAAGATTAATTAATGGCGATGCTGTTTGTTATGCGCTCAGTATACATGAGAACATTGTCAAATTTCTTATTGAGGCGCTACCGATATGTAACAAGTCATAACATTCCTTCTTCTTAAGGCTATGCAACTTCTCTTTTTTTAATACAAGAAATAAAATTTGCTTTATGTGGGAAGTATCAGTGACATTCTAAACGGTAAATAATATTAGGATTGTACGTAAAAAAAAATACAAAGTCACTCTTTCTTATTTTACACAAATATTTCTGTACCAAATCAAAGTTACCCCATTGTCCTCGTCCAGCTGCTCTCGTACGTTGTAATCAAGGCAGCAAAACAAACATGCTCTGACCGCTGAGGACTAGGTAGTTAAGAGGAAGCTATTTGTATATTTTTAACGTCTTACTTTTTTATATAGCCATTAACTTTTAAGATTAATAAGAAGTTTTTTAAAAGCTTCTAAGAAATAACTTAATACCCTTTAATACCATTAATATGAGTACCCTCATTTAATAAAATATCTTCAAATTTTCCGAATCACCATGACAACGGCCTAACACTTATTTTTCACAGACTTTTCGTGATTTTTGTTTATTATTATGATTTTCTGCTAATTGTGTTTAGTATTTGTGTTATAATTTTCAGTAATTAACCCGATAGTACTGAAATAGGCATGTTATCTTCAGTGCCAACAAAATCAGGAGATATGACGCCTTTTTGGTCAGTACATCCCCCTCTACTAATGGCCTCTTCAGCAATTGTAGAACAGTAGCGCTACACTTGCTATGTTTCCCCAAACAAAACTTACGATATTCTGACACATCCACCCATCTCCCAACACCCTATGTGTTTTTTACCTTCATTTACCTTCTTTGTTTGTTCGATCTGGAAACGATAGACGAGGAATCCTCCTATCTTTTAGAGGGTTTTTTTCAGGCAGGCGGGCTAATACCGAAAACAGCTCAAACAAAAAAATGCCAGGAAAAGGCTGAATGTTCTATCAAATCATCATTTGTCATCAAACTTTTCGTATCACCTAACTTTTATCCTGCCCAAGTTATACTCAAACGCAATTTTCTTCACCTTCTTATGTTTTTATAGTTCTTTTATCTATATCTCTGGTCTAATTGAGTGATTCTGTTTTTCTTGATTTAGTTTAACAACTTAACAATTTCTTTCCTTTGCTCTCTTCGACAAAAGCTTTAAACTTTCACTGGAATTTAATGCCGTGGAGTGGCACGGGCCCTTTCTCAAGCCTTTTTGCAAATATCGTATTTTTTTTTTAACTGTAAATGTCAGATACATAATCCATCTCCATCCAGATTTGAATCTAATACATAATTTATATGAAATTTGTAAGGTCAAGGTCATTTTCAAACACTGTTAAGACATAGAAGGGCTAACAGATAACATATTCATCGAAATTTTCTTACTGGACATGATATTGAAAAAATAGGGTTGCTATATAAAAGTCTGCCATTAATAATATAATAAACATAATTTTGGGTTGGGCTGGGCTTGACGCACAACAGCGCCCAATTATAATAGACTGAATACTTATACCAAAAGGTGCAGCTGCAGCGCCCGGTCCATTATTGAAGCGAGTGGCGTAGTCTCTCTTAATTTCATTTGGATCCAAGTCTAATGCTTTTTTTATGGAATGGGAGTAAACGAGCAGACGCGTCAACTACCGACGGCAAGCGACTACCGCCGCCCATCGACACAACAATTGCGATGTTGCCCTGACCTGACTCTTCCGTCTCCCCAGAGTTCGTTATGGGCCGACTCGACCGGAGTAGTACTGCCTCACAGAAAACCGGCGTTGAGCGATTCTTTGCTTTTCACCGAGTGAGAAAGGTTAATCGGAGGACCCATAGAAATAGGTGGAGATCCTTATTTCTAGTGCGAGCGGAGGAGGAGCGATCAAAAGAACGCACTTGTGTCTCTTTAGGTGCAGGTATCCATGGGCGCCGGTAGTCATTCACCATCAGATCAACGGTGTGTTCGTGGGTCACTGCTGTTGATCCTGGTGTACAGGAATTACAGTGGTGGGCGTGTGGGATAGATTAGTCCAATCAAGAACTGCTTAACGCCGGTTTTTGTGTAATAAAAGATTATTTTAGGAAATTTGTTGTATTGATTTGTGATAAAAGATTAATTTTGAAAATGAGTTGTGTTGATTTGTGATAAAAGATTATTTTTGAAAATGTGCCAATTAATAATGAGGTCTTTTTAACATGAACGAACTCTTTCCTAAGATACAGACAAGTTTCCTGCCTAGTTTCTCTCCCTCTCTTGTTCGATGCAAGGGTCGCACCAAATGTTTGTGTGATCTGCAAATATTTGTTTCGGAGTTTGGGTGTTTTCCATGTATAATATGTATATATTTACAAAAAAAGTATATAAGTATTCTATCGGTCAATCTAGTTTTCATAGTACAAGCTCTGCTTAGTTTGAAACTAGATAGCTTTGTGTGTCAGATCTCCAAAATACGAGTATTATCTTGTTGTTCTGGTTTCTCCTTGTAACACTTAAGTATATAAAACAACTCTATATGCCATGTACAAACTACTTAAATAAATTTTATTATTATTATATTTTATATTATTATAAAACTTTAATATTGTGGTGACTTTCATGAAAATGAACACTTATTTTTTTTCTTTATAAATAATCGCACTCTGATCTACCTATACTGCCTATCCCCTGACCTACATTGACATTCTGGGTCTATTGACTAATACTTTATTTATATTAAGTTTTAGAATCATTGGACACTTAAATATTAGAATGAGTTTTGGTTTAAATTAAAATTTGATTACGAACAGCCAACACTGATATAAATGAACACAAATTAGCTAATACTAATAAAAACTTCTTAACTACTTCTTATCAGCGTCTCCTTAACCGAAATCCAGAGTTATACGCAACAAGCATTGTTTTAATTTAATAACAGTCACAGTCCCGCTAGAATTGAAAAGGACAAACAAAAAAATTGCCTGTGACACCCCTAGAGACATCACGTACTAGCTGCCCATTATAAAAGCCAGAAGCAACCCTTCCTTTCTTCAGACACAGCGGAGCAATCCTGAAGTCACCACTGTTCTTAGTTAAGAGTTACTATTTATAGAAAAATGGTTTTAGAATTAATCGGAAAATATATGTAAGTACCTTTTATATATGTTTACGCTTTATAAAATGTAATTTCGGGGTTTGGCAGATTACTTTTGCTCGTGGTATATTTATTTTACGGGTAGTGGCCGACTTTTGTAAGTTTTCGTGACAGGGTAGTCGTTAAAACAATTGACAGATTTTCATTAGTAATTTATACAAATATAAAAAAAAAGTGCCCGATTGAAATGCCAAAGTAAATTATTTATATTGATCGATAACGATTTTTTAACCTAATATACAAAACTTTAAGAACGTGAACTGAACCGATTTCCGTAGGTATTTCACTGACAGGTAGGTAATGTTATGAGGAGCTCCTTGAGCTATTTCGATTTTGTTAATCAATTAGGTTTCTAATAGGTAATAATAATAAACGTAGTAGATATGGTACTTTTGCTAGACTATTTTATTATTTAGACTCCAAAAGATATTTGGTGAATAGCGCTCAAAGACTACACTAACTATACTATACTATAACAATATCTTTGATATTCTAGAGTTTTACTAAATTAAATGAGTAAATTGTTTTATGTATAAAAAATAATAATCTCATTATAACTAAAATTGAATACCTTGACCCTAAAGTTTTGGCAAACCACGAGTTTATGAGAACGAGTTTACCAGTAATCTTAAAAATCTGTATATTTTTAACCGACTACAAAAACACAAAAGAGGAGGTTATCAATTAGGCTATATGTTCGTAAATAAAGTCACCTGCAAGCAAATCTATAAAAGTTTTAAACAGAACATTAACATATTATGGCAAATCTTTTACAATCACATAAAATGATTTCAGTTCTATAAACCATATCATTAAGTAAACTGAATTTAACTTTACCTAAAATATTATCTGATGAAAAACTTAGAATTTTATTCCTCCGTTACCTCTCCTCCCGTAGTAGAAAAAAAAGGAATATTTTAATCCGTCTCTAAGCCTGCTTAAGTAATTCTTAAACGACCCCATTACAACGCTACATTATCCAAGTATTTTTATAGCCTTCGAATCCAAAGCAGCTTAGAAAAAAATTAAACACATTTATTAATGCTTGGTAATGTTTATTTTCAGAGACTAACAAAATGCATAAAAGAATACAAACGCTTCTCTTCTTCTTACTAATTGTAACTACTGATGTGGCTTTGGGGAACTTGAATAAAACAAAATTAAGCAAAGGCACCCATAAGAAACATAGTTCTTTAAAAGAAAAACTTGATAATGAACGTATTAAAAGATCGCTAAATGACGACGATGAACAACCTTTTTGGCCCAATAGAGGAAAAAGACAAGTAGATGATGATCCACCTGACAATTACAAACTCAAAAACGGATTAGAATACAATCAAAGAATACTAAAATCAAGTGAAAAGCTAGTCCAAGATCTACCATTTTGGGGAAACAGGGGTAAGCGTGATGGTTCAGAAAATTTATATGATTATGAATATCCAGAGTTTTTAATGAAAAACTGCGAACATTGTATTGATATTCCTTCAAATACTGACAATTTAAAAAATATAAAAGATAGAAGGGACGATTTTATTTCTCCTTTTTGGGCTAATCGTGGTAGACGTAGTTCATTCGAGGCTGAAGATTTATCTGAGCCATTTTGGGGAAACCGAGGCAGAAGACAAGAAAAAGAACCCTTTTTAGGTAATCGTGGTCATAGAACATCAGAAAATGAGCCGTTTTGGGGAAATAGAGGTAAACGAGAAGATGAACCATTCTGGGGTAACCGTGGACGACGAGGCGAGGACATAGATCCGTTTTGGGGTAACCGTGGCCGAAGACAAGACTCTCAGCCATTCTGGGGAAACAGAGGTAGAAGACAGGAAAATGAACCTTTTTGGGGCAACCGTGGTAGACGAGAAGAAGAACCATTTTGGGGCAACCGTGGTAGACGAAAAGTTTCGGAGCAAAATGTACTTCAAAACAAAAAGGAAGGTTTAAAAGACTATATTCTAAGTGCTATTAGCGATGTTGAAAATGATATAGAAAATCTTTCTAGACTAAAAAAGGCTGGGAATCCAAGTTCTTTTTGGAGTAATAGGGGAAGGGATAATAAGTTTTCGCTTATGTTTAACGGACGACCAAGAACGAGGTCTTTACTATCTCAACCAGAAAGAGCTTTCCAAGCAAAATCTTCTGAACCAAGAACTGTTTTGGACAACCGAATGTACGTTGAGGAACCAAATTATATTCTAGTAGAGAGAAGTAGTCGGTCTTCTGGCGAAGATGATCCTTATTACATATCAAGAGGTAAAAAGTATTATTTAAATTCCAGTTTCCAGCAGGCCGCTCGGGACAGGCGGGGCGCTATGGAAGAGATTGTGAAATCAGTGCGTAATGACCCGTATTATATAGCAAGAGGAAAAAAGGACACTGGCGTAAAAAATGGTCGCTCGGCGGAACTTAAAGAAGAATACAAGAAAGCTAAAGACTTAATTTGTGCTGCTATTAATTTGGTAACAATAAAAAAAGACAACGGAAAAGTTAAAAGAGAAATCGGCGATAATGATAGAGACAGGCGAATTATTTTAAAGAAATTAGCTGCGCAGTTACAAATGGATCCATATTTTGTTAGCCGGGGTAAGAAAAGTGATGTACCAGGTGATAAGGATAATCTTCAAGAATTTATCAGTAATATAGCTTCAAAATGTGATTAAGGTCATTCTGAGAATTTTGCCAAAGTATAATCATGGAGAGATGTAATATTATTAAGTATTTAGTAGTAATAAGATGTGCAATTTAAAATTAAGTCAATGACGATTGAATAAAATATAGATTCTTCGTTATTCCTTCATTTATTTTCATTTCTATTATCTACTTATTCTGACCTGCAACGTACTCCGTGGCTCGTAAGCTAGAGATATTTTAGTTATGATTAGTATAGAATTACACTAACTACCCTGACAACCAGGAAGTCAGACTATGTTGTTGTTGATTGACTATAATGTTTAGTAAAACATCTAGAAATGGCAATTCGGATAAAATTATATTGTGATAGATATCCATATATCGACTAAGAAAATCTTGTAGCAAAGAAAATAAATGTAAATCAAGTGAGTATGGTGGGTGAAGGACTGCCTTCCACCCCTTTAATTAAAAAAAAACAGCATTCGTCTTGGAGAGCGTGATGTACTGCACCGCAAAATAAGCCTTTGTTGGTTGTCCAACTATCGACCGATCAAAAAACTGTTTAATATAATAACTTCACACATCTCACACACGGGTGTCTGATTCCAAACTAGGCAGAACCTATACAATGGTAACCAGACTCCTGATAAACATACTTTTATATTTCTAAATACATACTAGTCGCGGCCACAGAGTCATGAAAATTAGGGAAAGTCGTGGTCGATGCAATCAAGCCGAAATTTGGCTTAAAATTAAGAAAGAATACGCATATATACATCCTGAAGTCTCTAGAAAAACTGAGATACGCGTCATACTTTTACATTGTAAAATAGTTCGAATATCGGCAATTTTTTGGTTCTCGAAAGTTATTTCAGAAAGTACTGGTTTTACAGAAAAATGTTTCGAGTTAAATTTTTTCAGGAGACAATTTTTCATAGGGATTAATGATTTTAAAAATAAAAAAGGTTGTTATTATTTATTTCTGGTCCTGAAACTTGAAAGTGGAAAAACGGAAAAGTGAGTCAAAAAGTATCTTAAAGACGTTAGAATTCAATGAAAATCGGGTATTTCGTAAATATTGTTATTATTGCCCTTTTTTTTTTTTTTTTTTTTTTTTTTCCCGTGCGGAAATCCCCTCGGATACCACCTATCGGTGGCATGTCGGACTTGAACCGACTAAAACCGCACGCCTTCGCCGGGTACTAATAGCCGGGGAACCAGGTATACCCTAGAAAGGAAGGCCCTGGTGGTTATTATTACCCTAGCCCAATCGCGAAAAGTAAAATGGCGGCTTACTGCAAAATTGTTAAGTAAAACATTGAATAAGCAATAACTTGTGTCGCAGCAGTCAGATCCGAATCAGAATTTTTGCAATCTGTAGGTACTAATAAGCCATTTGATCAGTCCATATTGATTTTATAAAAGTCAAAAAGCGTGTATTTGCGCTTATTTTTCATGACATTTTTTTAAATTACGCATTACGCATACGCACGAGCGAAGATAGGTTTTATTATACAATAACGCATAGCGATCGGTGTGTGTGATGTGCGTTGTGACTTCGAACCAGGCTAGCTCTTTTCTTCAATTCTTAATCATCACAATTCAATACTTAAGCACAAAAGGTCAACACAGCCCACGTTTATCGATAACGTTGGTGCCTTTAACAAAATCAATTTCACCAGCATTAGCCAAGCTCTGTCTAGACGTGGTGTTGATTCCACAATCTCAGAGTGGATCGACAGCATGCTAAGATATAGAGCTATTTAATTTACCGTGAGTGTTAAAAATTAAATTAATTAATTAAATTATGGGATCAATTAGTGGAATACAAACCACTAATAGGAGCCCAATGCGATAGAATCCCAAAACACCACATCTTCACAAAAAGGTACCAGATTCAAATAGTATACAAATTAAAATCTCAAATAGTATACAAAATTTTAGTACAAACAAATTTAAATCCACGATAAAGCGTAAACTACATATTATTATGTCAGAAATCCTTTTACTCAATAGTGGATTACATAGAAGTCAAGAATGCTTGGTTCGTAGTGGAAATGTAATGTGGGCTAGTGTGTTTTTTATTTAATTTTATATTTTTTATGTTTTGCTTCACTTTCTTTTTTATTCCATCGTTTTTCTATATCTTGTTTTCTCTTAATGAATGCCTTTTTACCTTTTAGTCCTTAAAACTTACATACTGGGCACACATCAAAACATTGTTGTGTAAATTTAATGATGCCATTGTTGTTTGTTTGTTTGTGTTTCATGAGGTGCAACCCCTTGGAAATGGGCGGTTGTAGATCGGCACAGGCATATAAGAGATTTTCGATACGTATATATTTAGGTTGTTTTTTTTTGACAAAACAGAGATTAGCGCTATTGTGTGTGTTGATCTATACCTTTAGAGTCCACACAAGAGACAATTTCAAATAATTTTAAAGATTTTATGAAATAAATATATTTGAGTTTGAGTTTGAATAACAATATGACTGCACGGATTGTGTAGTGGTTTAAGCGGTCGCTTCGCCGTTTACTACTACGCTGAGCGTTGTGGGTCTAATCCCCACATGGGACGACACCTTGTGTGATCCACAAATTGATGTTCTGAGTCTGGGTGTTCTTTGTGTACGTTTGTAAAGTCCCCCGCGACACAGGATATTTTCCTAATACAGGAGTTGTCATTTTTAAATTTAAATATATATATATATCTACGAAATACCCGATTTTCATCAAATTCCAATGTTTAAGATAATCTTTCAAATTCTTTTCCGTTTTTATAATTCGTGGTTTCAGGGCCAAAAATAAACTATAAAAATCTTTCTGATTTTTATAATCATTAAACCTTATTCAAAATTGTCTCAAACTGAATAACTTTTACTCCAAACATTTTTCTGTAAAACCTTTTTGAAATAACTGCCGATTTTTGCTTTTTTTTCACCTATTTTACAACGTAAAAGTATGACGCGTATCTCAGTTTTTCTAGAGACTTCAGGATGTAATTGTACGTATTGTTTTCTTAATTTACAGAAAAAAATCGGCTTGATGGCATCGACCACCACTCTCGTTTCCCTGGGGACGCGACTATACGAGTACATATCACAGATAAATTACACCCAGACATCGAACAAATTATTTATCCTGGGTGAATATCGAACCCACGACCTCTGGCTTGGCATTCAAGGTCACTAACCACAAGACCAGCGGGTCCGTCAATATGTCGATATTTATCATAATTGAAATAAAACACAGTCATGTTAGTGCGATCTTTTATTACTCTGCAATATTATAAATATAGGATACATCTTCCAAACATCCTATTTCAAAAATTGATGCTCTCTTTATTTATTATTCACGGTCAGGTAACGTTTCAAAAATTTTTTTTTGAGCAATCACAAAATAATAAATAATTTTCTTTATCAGATTTTCGATGATGAGGTAAGGTACATTCAGACTACCAGTTGTATACCTACTTCCTAAGCTAAATGAGAAAACATAGATTACAAAATTTATTTAGATCTTTACAGGTTTATCTTGTTTTTATATCACCCATGTTTACTCTCTCAACATTTCTAAGAGGAGATGAAAAACGGAGTAGAAAGATTATAGGTAAGAAGGTCTAGGATTACGTCTAAAACGACTAAGAGATCAGTCTAGATTTCCAATTAATTTAAGACATCAAAAATCTTTTCACCGAAGCAGAGAAAAGTACAATCTACGCAGAAGCAAAAGAGAAAATAAAAAAATACAAATTGAACGAAACTTGAGTCAGTAAGCATGAGTCACAAATGGTTCTAAAGCTTTAACAACGAAACTAATGAACAATTTAGAAGACCTAACATCTTAGGTACACAAATTTATCATTATTTCAATAGCCTAAAACAGTTTCACTACTACTCAGACAACGATAATAAATGACGTCTTGATATGGACTGGATACATGTAAACAGTTCTAAAACATCTGATAGAAACGTTTATAAGGTACGTAACAGGACATTATATAGATGGTCCAAAATTTATTTAATAATACTGCACGTTTAAATTAATTTTGATATACTGCGGCAAATCGATAAAATTTGACATTTCATGTCCTAACGTTAATAATCTCATACCACGCTCACAAGCGCAAAAACACAAAAAGATTTATTATATTTTAACATACATCAACGTTTCGAAATGAAAGCTGGAAATACATAAACATTCATTGACGAAAACATTAAAAAATAAAACCTTTAGGCTCCAACCGTCACGCAAAGCGTACGGTAAATATTCAAAACTTTAGTCCTTGACGCGATGCGTCGAAAATTCTAGAACCCTGTAGGCCACGAAATTCGTTCAAACTCTCCAAAGTAGAAGATGATTAGTAGAATCTTCTCTGCCTGCGTCTTCTGTCATGGTAGAACTCCTAAAGTCCTCGTATCCATCCCCACCGGATATAATAAGAGTTTCTTTGTTATTCTGGCTCGTTTCGGTTTGTTTCTGCAGCTTCTCCACGTTCGTCGACCTGCGACTCAACGCTTTCGTCTTCAGCGAAGACTGCGTTTGCTTAGCGGGCTGTTTCGGTGGCACCGGGTTTTCGACAATCGTCAAGAACCTCACGTGGCCGGTGTGCCCATAGGTTATACCTAAACATAAAACTTGTCATTAGTCTTTTCTACTGTTGAGGCGTCGTAGAGACACTATTTTCTCATCCCAGCGTGTCCGTTAGGTGCAACAGTGGCCACTGTTGCACCTTACAGATAGATAGAGATGGTACGTACCAGTGAGGTGCGGCACAGTGAAAGTGCCGGTCCTGGCGTTGGGCGAGTTGTGCAGCGGCGCGGTGAGCAGCACGCCGGCGCTGGTGCCCACCCACAGCGTGTCGCGGTGCGCCAGCAGCGCCGTCACGCGCAGGCACGCCGCCTTGTGCTGCCGGATTATATCGTCGCAACCTGTCGCAGTAATCACATTTAAACTATTTTTGAAGAAAGAGACTTTATATGCCGTGGTTAATATTGGATTGTTTGATACTTTAGTTCCGATTCGGGTAGTTTATTATATATAATGCATACTACATATGATCAAAGATTTCGTTTCGACGAAACCAGAAATACGTGAAAGTTAACTTTCAATATTAGTTTACACAGTTACTTACAAGAGATGCTTTAAAACCGTGTTAATAAAAAAATCTTTTGTTAATTGTTTAAACTGTAGATCATACAATTTAAAGTTACAAATCCAATAACTTGCCGTGCAACATCTTAGTAACTTGCGGCGTGATATTAATCTCAGCCAACTGTTCGCGAGTGCTGGAGTTGTAACATCGGAGCTGTGCCGCGTTGTGCAGCGACAACCAGATTGTTCCTCCGGCCACCGCCATGTGACTTATCGGCTTCGTCTCCGTACTTATTTGGAATGTTTCGTCCACCTAAAATTCAAACGGACGAACAATAGTTAAAAAGTACACAGACTGGCTGATGGAAACAGTTTTTTTTAAATTATATATGCATGAGGTCACTGGAAAAGTAGTGCGCACAACTTTTCTTCCGTCCAAAAATAAGTAAAATCGTCAGAGCTTACATAATCAATCCATGGTCCCAAAACACCCCATAAATCATCATAAAATTAATTCACAAAAAATCTAGCAATTCTTTTTTTTTGTATTCTCCCACATTCACACAACGCTATCTAGTCCCAAACTAAGGAGAGTTGTTGTACTATGGCTACTAGACAACTGATATAAATACATACATACTTTTTTTTTTGTAAATACATACCTACATATTATACATAGAAACACCCAGACCAAATCAAACATTAAATGTTCATGCACACAAATGTTTGGCTACAGCGAGAATCGAACCCGCGACCTTTGGAGTAGCAGTCCGTTACACAAACCACTACGCCATCCGGTCGTCAATTGAGGGATAAACAAAATAATATTAACGTGAAAACAGTCGTGGGCAAAGGTCAGCCAGTTAATAAGATTACTTAGAAACTCTTTTTCCTACTTATTGTAAAGTTTAATATTTTCCTATAACATTTTAATTAAAACCTCTTTCAAATGTTCGGAAATAAATATCGTACCTGCAGCGAGTGCGGGTTAATGATTTTAATGGAGGCAAGCGTCGCGCACCAGAGTTTCCCTCCTGACAGCAGCATGCTGCTGACTGGGCTGGTGCCCGTCCCCACGGGGATCGTGGAGCGCTCCGTCCACGAGCCGTCTGGAAGTACATTCAATTACATAAATCTTTTTTAGATGCTCATGTTAGAACTCACTTTAAGGCTCTATCAGAAAAATTAAGTGCAGTAAGTTTTCCATAAAAAGCTGGCAGATAATTTTACAAATGTATGTTTCTTACTCGTGAGGTTAATTAAACACTTCAAGTGCTTTTATTTATTTGGATCGCCAACAAACGATACACAGTTCTACAATAATTAAAAATTATACAAAAACATGCCTTGTGCTCATTCAGTAATAGGCAATCACGACTAATATAATTAAAAATTGTACCATTCTACAATAAAAAAAGGTATAACAATAATAATATTTCTAGAGTTATATGAGCGTTTAAGATAAAACATGGTTGTGTAGTAACCGAATCAATGGACTAGGTACTAGATACTAAAAAATAATTTATATACCTTTTAAGTACTTAGAATCTGTACATTTCAGATAACATTAACCGACAAACTCTTGATGAAACACACTCTGTTTACAACAATAACATTATAAAATCTAAAAGAAACTGTCTTGAATATAATGCTTACCAATATCCCGGCAATAAACGACTAGGTCACCGTTTCCAAGCGCAACGAACACCTTTCCCTCCACATATCTGTAAAAAATGTATTTCTTTATCACTTTTAAGCGTCATAGAATATTTAAAAACCTATACATGAAATATTTACATTTATATTTAATTGTAGTACAATGCTCAATACTAACACAATGGAATGAACCCCCGAATTGTGCTGCAGTTTGATTTTATTCTTCTTTATTCTTATGTTATCTAGACAGTTGTAAACGTGTATACAACCGTCTTCAGTACCCAACCACATCGTCGGCTGATTCGCTGTCGTCCCGCTGTCTTCAGAGGATTGTCGACTAGCTGGAGATGAGAGTGTACCTGGAAATGTATTTCAATTCTTAGAAACAATATTTTCAGAAGGGACTTTCTAAACTATTTGACTAGAAAAGTGCGTGTGTAGAAAAGACAAGAAGAGAGGGAAAAAAGAGAATTAATTGAAATCTGTTTAACTCGATCTTGCTAATTTGTAAACATGTGTATATTTAGGTTATACCCCTTACCGAGATATATAATAAATCTATGTAAAGCAACATTATTCAATAGCTAACAAATGTGCGAATATTTTTGTAATTATCCTCTAGCACAGATAGCCAGGAGAGAATCGGAAAATTGAACTTCACTCCACACCTTATTATGACGGTGGTGGTGATGTGGTTTAAACGGTCGCCACGCCGTTTCCTACTACGCCGAGTGTTGTGGGTTCAAACCCCACAATGGACGACAATGTGTGTGATCCACAAATCGTTGTTCTGAGTCTGGGTGTTCTTTTATAAAGTCCCACGCGACACAGGATATTTTCCTAATACAAGATGTTGTCATTTTACACGAATATATCCTATAATCCTAATGCGGAAGTTGTTTTTAAAAAAAAACTGTATACATTAATGTCTATTTAAGAATAACTTTTATTACCAAGATGCTATGCCGATGGATACTTCTTTTTGGTATAGAAGTAACGTTAGAACTATTTAAAATTAGTTTTGTAAAACTGATTATATTTAAGATTGGCAGTTATTAAAGGGTCGTAAAGTTCAAATCACAGTACATGTCATAGTTTCTTAAAAAAAGTGGTACCACATGACACAATGTTGGTGAAGAACAGAAGATCGGCATCGACTTATTGTAAAATTCATTACTAAACAATCTTCCTTTTCTAGATTATTGATTTACTAGGCGCATGGCTATAAAATCAGCCTTGCTCCTATATAAAATGTTGCTAAAATAAGCAATACTTCTTGATAGAAGCAAATATCTACCAATTAACTATAATATTGCTATATTACAAAGGCAGAGAAGCATTTGGGAAGTATTTAAAAAAGGTCGAATTTTTCAATAATCATTAATGACAGAGCAATGGTCAGGTACTCAAGTATGAGAAGAAAACAGCACCTCCGAATTATAAGAACTAAAAAACTTTAAACCACTTGAGTTTACCATTCTCACATTGCTTATAAATTTATAATTACTCTTATTTATAACTCAAATGATGTTTGAAAAATTAACCATAAATATCGCTTAAGATTATACAGAGCAATTGTTCAAAGCAGAAGTAAATAGTATTTACTAATATTACCCAACATTGCACGTCCTGTTACTAAGTGGCGATGGAATAGGAAAGTTAATATTAATACAGAGTAGGAAAACAACATCAAAGAATTATATCTAATAGTACTGAGCATAGCTGAATAAATTGAAGAATGAAGTTTAGGAGAATTCTCAAAGAACTCTCAGTTTCTACTTAAAATAACAGAGGTTTCCGACCGATGAAGGCCAACTAAATATAATTAAACATACTACGAGTATTATCATATAATATTTAACTGTCAGTTTAAATTAATACTTTTATGTAATCTATGCAGTTCGACTCAATGTTATACTGAGTCGAACTGGAAGTTCATAGTTAAATTTGAAAGAAACAGATTAACGAAAAATGTAGAACTAACTGAAAGATACAAAAAAGTTAACTGAAGTTAATTAGAACAGAAAGACAAATAGAGACCACAAAATCTACCCAATCTTTATGTCGCTTGCGAATTATAAAAAAATATTTGCATTTATGAAATAGTTGACGTTTACTTAGTCCACTGTTTTACACAAATAGAGTTTCTAAGAAAATTTCAGAAACATCAAATTTCAATAATATATTTAACACACTTACTACTTATGGATTCAATAACTATTATTACTTGGGACACAGTATTTTCAAAAAAAACATATCCACATACCAGAATTTATTCCCATAGCTTGTTTATCAACCGCTGGGTTCGAACTGGACTTCATCACAGGGTGTACTTGAATACTCTGACCCGTGTGAGGGGTGCTCAAAGACTTGCTATGATTCGGCGTTAAGGTAGCTCGATGGTTCCCGAGGCTAGCTGTTAGGCTAGAATGCAGTCGGATTGAAGCTGATTCCTGACTCCTTTCCGACTGGGCGTCCTGGTTCTCACTTGTAGATGAACCATCGTCTTCTTCGTCACTAGATGATGAGCTGTGAAAAATACATAAGAAAGTTATTATTTTACATTTACTACTTATTTATTTTATTTATTTTACATCTTTCGCTAAAATCGAAGACAAACAAACTCACTTTCACATTTATAACATAAGTATGGATGTGTTTTTTTTTTTGTTCAAGATTACGACCTTTTTTTAGATTTAGACTATTCGCAAGTCTAGCGATAATTAACAAGTAATAATAACAATGAGTCGCAGTGGTTTTGTATATTCGTCACACGATTTATAAATCATATAATTTATCACAGGTCATTGTAATTTTATTCCATCTCAACCAGATCAAGATATAATTTTGAAGTAAAAACTTCTTTAGCGGCGTTGTACACTTTTTTGTAATAGGTAGAAAATGTTAAACTCGCGTCAGGACACGTGACCTGATCGAAAATTCGTAAGACGAAAACTTCTTTAGCGGCGTTGTATACATAAATATTGTATTCTACCACATAAATGATAGTACTTTTATACTGATAATTAAAGCAATACGTTCAAAATTATTCCCTAACCATTCCAAAATATCAAAAATGCACAACGTTAATATTCAAGTTTTCACTTCTGCCGCCACTCCCGGAGTGCAACCCGTCGTTTTTTATTTTTACATAAATGTATTTCGTATACATACCTGTCTAGTCTTATGTTCTTACAGCTGTCATCTGGATCTGATATACTTATTCCTGGTTTCACTGAACTTGTGCTGTTCAACGAACTTGTACTCCTGCAAAAAAAAATCAGAGAATAATGATTTTTTAATATAGGTAGTTAATAGATACGTAAAAAATAAAGTATGGTATATTTTATTCTTAATTCAAACAGATAATTGGTTAAAATATCAACATTTTGGACCCAAGGATTCATCAAAATGTGTCAAAATTAAAACAAGTCAGACAAATGAAACGAAACACCAACTATCAATATTAGAATGTCTTTTAAGAAGATGATTACTTACGGTATGTCCAGTGTTTGCTGTCTCGTAAGCGCAGGCGCAGGAGGGACGCATGCAACGCATAGTATACGTGCGTTGCACACACCGTTACATGATGTCACCTGGGGTTTTGGTGATAGAGTTAGCACGCAGACTTGGCCCACGTATCCGTCACTATTGCACACCTGGCAAAGAGTAAAACCTGTTATCTAGATTTCCTATTATGTGTTAAAGAAGTTATTTTAATCTGTAAGTTCCAAGTTTTTGAACATTGGGATGGTATTGAAACAGAGCTAGTTACAGTGGACAGTCTTTCGGCGTAGAGCAAAAAAACAATAAAAAAAAGTTTATTATTTGTAACCAAGAATAACAAATTGCACAGTAGAATATGGTTGATAATGGCTACTATAGTTGCATAACTATGTTGAAGCCATTAACGCCCATCTCAAGAAGATAAATGACAGGTTTCAGTTGCATCACGTTTGCTGAATTTAAAACAAATCACAAAGTTAAATAATAATTTTTAACAATGTTATAAAATTGATGGTGTCCAAATACGTACGAATGTTTGTGTGCGTGTGTTGTGGGTGAGTTATAAGTGTGTCCGCGCGCATGTGCGTGTGTGTGTGTGTGTGTGTGTGTTTGTGTGTGTGTGTGTGTGTATGCTCGTCTTTGCATGTGTGTGGTGTTTGAATGCGCGTATGCATGTGTGCATACGTGTGCGTGTGTGTGTGTCTCTTTTAAACATAATCCAATAACCAGCTTTTGCCTTTGCGCCTACATATATCCCGAACAATATTTAGACAACGCCCGCACTAGGAATATATTGTTAGTAAGAAAACCAAACCAAAACCTAACTCAAATTTATATTTACCCAAACATCAGGCGATTGTCCCTTGGGTGGTAAAGTGGGAGCAGCACATGTAAACTGGAGACCTGCCCGAGTCTTGCGGATAGGTACAGGTGATAAAAACTCTGGCGCCGGTCGCTCTTGACCGTATACACCTGAAATTAAACAAAATGATAATTAAGAAACACTGTTGAAGATTTCTGTATTATTGTCATTGTCGTTTTTACTTTTACCAATACAATTCAAATTAAATTTCCCAATAAAACCAATTGACATGTAGCGCCTAACGCTTTTTTTACGACAAAATGATTTTTATTAATCAGATTTTTTTATTTAATATCAAAAAGTAATAAGTAGATATGTTCATCACTACGCGCCTTAGTACATGGCACAAGACACTGCCGTATTTTTAGATGTGGAAAAAGTGGCTAATCCTGAAGATCCTGATGAGGATACTCTGACAAACTTATTAAATTTTTGGATTGCCATCGGTCCTTGACAAGCGTGCAAAATTTTGAATTAATCTGACCTTTTAAAGTGGGTAAAAATTAAGTTCAAAGATTCCGTTACATACATGCACTACATATACACATACAGGTGAAGCTAATGAAAGCGTGTTAATATTAATAATCTAAGATGCTTACACAATTTTTGTTTGGTTTCATTTATCAGTTCCTCCCAACTGCTCCTCTTATCCGCTTTTGGATAAATGATCGTTAAATTCTCAGTACCGTTCCTGAAAATATTGAACAATAAACAGTTTATTGCAGTTTTGGCATTATTAAATATGTAGTAATAGTCATCTGAACGAATATTACTTGTGTTATATTGCCATTTAATAGTTTATAAAAGTAGGAATTTAACATTTCGCATCTCATATTTTGATAATAGTTTTAATAAAACATTCATAAAGTTGTAAGGTAATGCCATTTAGGAGCTTTTGAGATTATTATAACAAAGGCACGTTTTTATGCAGATGTTAAGCAATTATTCGTTGCTTTTCACAGAGAGAACGAATTATGATATTAGAATCTAACCCCCCCCGCCCCCCCCCCACTTGAGGGGAGGCTCAAACGGTGGGCACTTGTGATTCTTGAGTCTTAGGTGTCATTGGGCGTCGGTAGTCACTTACCATCAGGTCTACCCTCTTCCCGTTTGCGTTTAGTAGAAGTGGTAGTAGTAGTAGTAGAAGTAGTATTGTTGACTTAAAACTCCGATCTATTCTAAGTATGTAAAACCTATAAGTACTTACGAGGTATTTAAACTAACTTCCATGTAACACAATTGCAAGTCACTATTCTGTCTTTCCGATAGCTGTTTATTTAACGTATGTAACATCTCTCTAACTAGTTCTTCTAGTTGCAAATGTGGCGTGTGTAGTGCGGCCATGTTCTCCGATATTTGTGTCAGCGTGTTCATATCATCGGTTAATGTTTCTACTTCGTGCATTATCCGCCTTAAGTTTTCATCCTTAGCTGTAATACAAGGAAACAATGTGTACACAATGTATGCACGCGTCCGTGGTGTGACGGATTAAGAATACGGAGTGTCATCACCCCTATTCATCCCTTGGGTGTCGTAGGAGCCGACTAAGGGAGCAAACTACGCAGAATAGCAGCACTGCAAAGACAAGGAAACTTGACACAGACCCTATACCAACCCATCTGGCCAGCATGTTATAGTATATATAGAAGTGGACTAATAAAGGCTGTTTATGACGATTATGTACAGAATCATGGGTCTGCAGCTGGTAAGTCTTCCTTCATCACCTCTGTATTCTAAGACACAAATAATTTTAAGCAATTTGTTATCTTTGGAGCTCAAGTAAATGCATAGCTTTATATTACATACTCTTATGTATACTACATTATTAAATTAAATAATTTTAGAGTTCTCGTCCCTGATATCAACAAGTCTCCTTTCGTTGTATAGTCATGTTCGTGGCGCAACATCCAACATTAAAAAGTATTTATAATTAGAATTATTGTTTTTGTTTCTTAAACCATTACAGCAAAAAGTAAATAATCTCTAATACTAATAAGAACTTTGAAAAGAAAAAAGTCTACTACAAGAGCAAAGCAGATATATTTGTATGTATATAAGTTGTAACTATCAGCACTCAGAATTTTTAAATTAAATTAAGATGTTCAAATTATTTTACTCCTTTAACATTAAGAAAGAGGTTCGTTGTTGTCTTTCATAACAATCAGTTTCTTATTAAGCTACAATCATACGTATTAATATCAAATTAATACAAGATATACGTATTAAGTAAAATTCAAGAAGAAAAATTCCACAATAATGCTGTATGCAGTTTAATCTAATCTCATTCCTTTCAAGCTTTCCAGTTCATGACGCGTATTTTACTGAAAGATTTTAATCATTATTTGTTGTATAAGTTGTTTGGACTATGATCGGCAAAGTTAAACAATATTAGATAAGACACTACTCAGTAGAGTGGGGTAACTTCTACGTATAGATTAATGTTTGAGAAAGTAACGAATAAGTTTTTATTTATGGCATGCCAAATTGAGTCAGTTCTCTCCGTGTACGGAGAGATAGACTTATTAAAAGTATTTTATGTTCAGTTATAATATGTAGTGTGTGTGGTTTTGATAACCACTTAATGTCACTACGCAATAACTAAAAGTAAGACAATCCACTTCGGGGTGAACACTAAAGGAAAGGGTTTTATGTCTCTTCAACGCAAAGGGAGAATCCTGTCGAGGTAATTATGCCTGGCGTGTTGACCCTATGGTTGGTGTTAAGAAGTTTATACATACTGATCAAGAACTTTTAAAAGCATTAATAGTTACTCCGTATTTTGGAATTTACTATCTAATGAAGATATTCCAAAATACGGAGTAACTCCACATGTTTTAAAAAAAGATTTTTAAAACATGTGGAAGTCGGTACATGCGAAAACCTATGTATAGTGACGGAGTTGGAATAAGTATGTATGGATTAAAATCCTAACCTAAACGACCACACGTAACCTAACAAAACGAATACAAAAAAACTAAAATGAATTTATTAATAGATTAGGTGGAAATTAGACCTCTCCCGTACTTGTCTACTTTATGAAAAATAGTCAATTAAAATCAAAAATGCTGGGTGACACGGGACATTTATTTCCTTAATGGTTAACTAGAACAACGTCTGGTCATGCCTGCACGGATTGTTATATAATGATCTTATAAATAAATACATATGCTTTATTTTCATATTTCATAAATATGTGATCGAACTTCAGATTCAAACAGGATGTCCTGAGTTTATGCGGGAACGATAAAATTCAGTGTAATCTCATGGCCACTGTATCATCTCCTACAAAAAATATGTTTATTGCTTTTATCACAATGAGAAAAATGTAAGATCTAAAGAATATACCAAATTATGTAGAAAATCAACCAACGTTAAGACTTTATACATAGGATTTAATATACGATGTGTTTGCGACTGTATTTCCTATTTAAGACCTTTGAGAATTTTTTAGTAACAAGTTTCAAATTAGCCACGAGGACCTCAAATTAGTGCAAACTTTATATATGAATTACTTAGGAGCATCAAATTTTTTTCAACCGATTCTCTTCTTTTAATTCTCTTTTTTTTTCTTTTTAGTCTCACTTTTTTTTTCTTTTAGCTGTGCGACCAAATTAATTATACTTTTACCTTTTGAAGGATATTTTATAAGGCAGGAAAGTTTTTCCATTTTATTTCAATATCTTAAACTCAACTAAAGCTGTTTCATATCAGACATGGTAAATAACTACAGTATCAGAAATTACGCCCAACTCTAAGATTTCAATTTTTTTATAAAAGACAAATTCAGAACGACAATTTGTGGATCACACAATGTTTCGTCCCATGTGGGTATCGAACCCACAAAACTCAGCGTAGGAAGCGGCGTGGCGACCGCTTAGACCACTACCAATACCTAAAGTTATTGAGTTATTATTGTTTATTAGTGCTTACACCAATAATTTAGCCTTCTTAGGGGGGGCAAACGAGCAGACGGCCATGACCACATGTCATTGTCTATGTGGAACGACAACTGCTGTCAGCTTGATAAGTAAATTACATAATTAATATGCAAACTAGATAAATATAGCAGTTTACAAAAATCACAGAACAAAATAAATGTCGGAAATATTTTGTATCGTATTTGAATAGTTTCCTTTTTTACCTTATTTTTTTTTTCATACCTTTTATGTATATTCCATGTGTGTTTGTGCTCCGACGTCCAATTTTTTGTTCGATTTTGTGTTCTTTGTTGGCTATTTTTTATTGAGCAAGCATTTTGTTAATCTTTTATATTTCTATTCTATTCTAGTATACTTCTCTATACTTCTATTCTAGTATTTAGACTTACACATGAAAATGTAATATTGTAATTAAGTAATATGTAATTTTTTTATAGTTGCACGCATGTCAAAATACTTGTAGTTTTTATATACCAACACGAGACATAAAACTACACGGTCAGTAAATTAATATTTCGAATTTTTCTAAAGTCCCGAAAATACATTAATCACGACCGATTTGCTTTGAAAATGAGAAAAGAAAAATATGAAATAGATAACTGAAAATTATTTTTGTGTAGTAATCACTAAATCGCTAAAAACAATAGTTAACACTTCTATATACCTACATATTTATTACCTTTTATATAGTATTTTTAGCATAGAGCCAATTTCAGAAAACTACCGCGTACCGTCCGTACTACCGTCTTACGAGTAAGCTGACAGTGCTACATTGATCGGTGCCTCGAATACGAAAATTTATTATGAACTCAGAATACATACGTCAAAAAAGATTAGTTCTGCCGTTTTCTGCTAATTTGTGCAGTTAACGCGTACTTAACCGTACCATAGTGTAATCAAGACGTTGTGTTCCTAAATTTTACGTTACGAAACGTGCACAAAATCGTATACAAAATATTACTGTAACCTTTACGATAAGGTAAAATATTCATGCAGTGTATGCAGTTTCCTTTAGTTAAACCTCTATACATTTCTGCCCAAAAAAAATGAAACCTATCTATCTAAATTCATATGGTTACCAACATCATTAATCAACAACTTAAATTAACACCATCTGATGTTTAAAATTGGCGAGACGTTTCTGGGTCCCTTATTATTCCCTAATTCCCTCCTTTATTAAACGTAGCGTAAAAATAAATACGGTACATCAGAAAATTTATGGCTAATTTTGGTTATACTCGTACTTCGAATTATAAGATTACCTTTAACAATTTCGAGATCGGCCAGCGATATTCTCATGAGTAATTTGTACTTGTTTCCTTCCATCTGACTTGCTATGTTGCTTTGGTATGTTCTGAAATAAATCAAAATATAAATATACCTAATGTAATACGTAAGTCCATTGACCTACATCTTAATGAGTTTTGGGAAATATACAAACACTTCAGTGATTTCTAATGTGAAAGTAATAAGAAAACATATTTTGTGCATTCGTTTCTTTAATACTTGTCTAACAAATAATATAACAAGCTAGCTAGGATTCAATTTTAAAATTGTAACTTATTTTTTTTTTTCAAAACAAGTACAAAAACAGTTATTCAGCACTTACGGAATAGGTTTCTTAATCGTTCCAGTTCTTCTTTTAACGCTAGTTATCAATAAAGTATCATTAAATAGGAACAGGGCTCTATCTTTAATCGTCCCTTGCGCTGACGGCATCGTCACCGTTTCATGTCTTAAGAACAAGCGGTCTGTTGTAACCAGGTTAGATAAACCCTCGATCATTTGTTCCAAGTCTCTCAAAGTTTGCTGTTGTTGTTCAAACTCAAGACTTTCTCTTTCTGTACAATTTATAAGTTCTAACAATTCGTGTATTTCTTTTTGAGCTTCTAGAAGAAGTTTGTGGTCTGGGTGCGATTGATCTGCAAGGAAAAAATATATAAATAATTTCACATTTTTCCAACTAGTGCTTTGGACCAAAATAATATTAAATATTGGCTTTGAGATTTAGAAAGTAGTCTGAGATATTACGTAATTTAAGTATTTTTTTTTTGCTTTAACGACCGAAAAACAGAAAATGTAGTTCTCACTATGAAATTTCAAGAGACAGTGATTTAACATTTTCTATACCTGTTTTCTTTTTGTAATTGTCTTTGTTTTCATTTGTGTTTCTTTGTCTGCATATATATACTTTTAATTATTGTAATTGATATACCCATATTATTATTATCGTTAATTAAAGTAAATCAATTAGTCATCTACCGTAGTATACTTAAACAACAATGAATCTTGTAAAAAATAGTTTTATCTGCGATAAAATCCTTTCTAATGCCTATACCTATCCTTATCGTCCTTCTATCGGAGATTCGGTCTCAATAAACAAAAAAATATATAATAAGAAATCAAGTCTAAAACTAAGCGTTACGGCACTTTATATTTACAGATATTTTTGCTAGGGAAAAAATACTTTAGCAAAGAAAGAAATTATAAGTTACTAAATGCTTCAATATCCTATTAAAAAACGCTGTCGCAAATACAACACTTTTGTTATTAAACTTTATTAAATAGTTGTGTAAACTGCTCACTTACCTGTATGCTTAATTAACCTTTGTATCAGCAGCTTATAATATGGGAACTTCTGTACTGGTTTTATGAGCAAATTATCCAACGACAGTTTCCCTTTGTGGTCTCTCGCCATAGCGTCTAGAAACTTGGCAAAAGAAGGCCTTGACGCTGCAGCTGTTTTGATTGTCTCCTTCGCTTTTTTTAAGTTGTTTATAAAGGACATGTAGGTGTCCATTACGGTGGGTTTTGTGAACTATAAAAAATTAGAAAGTCATCGAGATATATAACGATATGTAACGTAAACTTATTATTACAATATTAGACATACATTAAAAAATTTGTTAGCACTAAACTTTTTTTTAGAAAGAAACATGTTTTAATATAGAACTATACATATTTGCACTAGGAATATCTTATAGGATGCCCTAGGAATCTTAATGGGCACTTGATGATGATGACGTATAAAGTCTAAAAATGAATTCAAGCTATGCAAACTTTGTAATAAATAAAATCAGAACAACAAATATCATAAATACTAAGAAATCAAGATTAATTTGTTAACAGTCTTAACCTTAGAGGTTACCTACCTATTGGTTAGGTAAACATGTTAAAGACTAACGGCTTCCTTTATCTTCATCAATCATGACAAAACTGTCATACGCAAGTTTACGCATAAAACATTAAAGCTCATTGGCATGGAAAATATGATATTGCTTTTAGATTACATTTTTACTAAAAGAGTAATATGGTAACCGTACATACTCTTGAAAATACACATTTACGTACCATTGCACGATAGTAATATTTGAAAATACAATTTACAATAATGATGAAAATAAAAAGGTATCCTCTGAAATTTATCAAAGTGCCTTTTGCAGTATTTGCATGTGTAAATTGGACAACTAGTACGTTATGGTTTAAAGCAGAAATTTTTACATCATTAAAAAAGTCTGTTATTAAAGTTTACTTACTACATCTAAAAATACGTCGCCAACTTTTTGCTGTAGGTCCCATTGTTCTAGTCTTCTTCTTAACTGCTCCAAAAATACTTGATGCACGTTAAGAATTCCGGGTACTTGGTAAAAGATTTCATCTACTAGGAAGGCGTCCAGAAGACCTGCATTCTCTGGGCTTTTAAGCGGTTGAAGGTATTTCTGGGTAGATATGATAAAACGATTAGGAATAGATAAATTACATTAAACAGATAATGTTAAGATTAGATAATTTGTTTTAATTTAAAAAGCATTCGAAGTATATTGATTAAATTCGAAATTAAATCAATATAATAATATATAATAATAATCAATATAATAATAAGAATACTTTTCTGCATACCTACATACAAAATTATTCAATAGTTGTCAGTCAGTAGTGTCATTTGGTAATCTCAGTAAAACTTGAGTGTACAATAAGGCATTGCACAATTTCCTGGAATGTATGCCGAGGAATATATCCTGTGTTGCGGAAAACATCACAAAAATACATGAAACGGACATCACACAGTGTTGTCCCATGTGGGGATTTAATCCACAACACTCAGCACAGTGAGCTGACTGCTTTAACTACTACACCATCCGTGCAGTCGTACGATAAAAATGCTAAATGTGACAAAGAAGTTAATTCCCAAAAACATAAAGTAAGGAAGTTACTATGCCTACGATAAAAGTCTTGAACTTTTATTACCAATGTTTCATAAAACGTCAAGGTATTACACAACAGTAAGAGCTCCTATTAAATAAAATTCATAACCAGAAGTATCACTATAAACAAATTCAAAAAAAAGTATATTCTTCAATAAATTTTATGAATTTTAAAACCGTAATAAAACCTTACTCTAAGTAGGCCCTACAATGTCATAAACATTTCTGGGCCACAAAAAGTATGTGCCATAAAATTGTGTGCAAAATTCTTATCGGAGTTAAGTGACAAAGTTTATTGTCAAACAGGGGATTGCTTTGATGTAGCCTTCCAACTGTGACAGCATAGTTACCCTAATCAAACAGAAAGGATATTCAAAAAGATCCGAAAGGACCGTTAAAGATGGAAATTTATTTAACGATGTCCTCAAGTCTGCTGAAATGAAATAAACCTAGATATAAGAAAATCTTGTGATTGATAATGTCTGAGTTTAGGATACGTTAAGGGATGTTCTCTACTTTATCGGGTATTGGTAACAAGTTGTACAATATTAAAACTGTCACTATTTTGCACATTACGGTTTCAGATCAAGGACTTTTGGTGGTAGAACAATTGTTAATTCTATCTACATAGATGACATTTGATCTGAACTTTAGTACATTAAAGTTACATCAGTCGTTTTTCAGTCATTTTTGACAGTAATTAAAAATACAGTTTTAAATATCTAGAACTTTCGTTAAGTTGAAGATTTCATATATTTAAAACTTAAATGCATTTTTATTTAACATTTATTTCTTTGGTCACTAAATTACCTATACAATATAGGTAACAAGTCTTCGCTTGCACTCCTATGCCAAACCCTTAGAAAACTCTCAAGTGCACTAAACTGACCCAGAAAATAATTAAAATCGCCACCCGACACATTTCAATGACGCTCTGTTAAATCTGTCCTTCACCAGAGAAGGTTGAGAGGCGTGAGGAGGGGTGGGTAAGACTGGCAGTGACAATAAATAGCCCGGCCCACATGGCGGAAAGGTAAAACGGAAAATTTGCTCGGAAAATCTACTGCGGTGTAGGGCTGGCCAATTACACATAATGATTCTGGGTAAAAAATGCTGTACAGAATTTAATCCTTTGTTTAAAATTAATTTTACAGAGCGATGATATCGTGCTGAAGGTTAAGAGGGTTGGTTTTTATATGATCACGTTTTGCGTGATCATGTTGAATTATGGGCAAACTTATCATCCGAAATCTTTAAAACAGAAATATATCTTAAAATTATGAATAAAATAATTATTATCATATAAATTTGGTAAAACCAACTATCATCGGCTATATTTTTTCAAGGATTTTCTATATTAATAATATTAAATAAAATAATTTTCGTTCTAGTATGTTCATGATGTGCTTGTGTGAATTCACTGATATTATGATCACTTTTCTTAACTACTAACTTAAGACTCAGGACAAATTAAATTCAAGTAAATTCAAGCATGAAGCATGAGTGAAACAACTATCGTAAAACTCCCATTATAACACCCAGTCGGTATTTAATTTGGAAGTTTTTTTTGTTACTGTCTCAAAAGTTAACATGTAACAACTTTATGAAAAATACAAATACTTTATGAAAAAAGTACAAGTGTATTCGTGAAGCAGCAATCAATATATTCTCCAAAAGTTTGACGCAACCTTGAATCAATAATAAGAAATGGATATCACGCTCTCTCTGGCTTTCTTGATAGGCACCATTACCTTAATAGCTAGGGTAGTTGAGAATCAACAACCCTAGTTATTAAGTAAAAAATTAACTAAAATTTGGTCTTGCTCTGGTTTATCTCAAATTTAAAACGTTTTCTAAAAAAATTATTTTTTCGATTGCAGGTTTTTTGGAACAACTTTATTAATAAAATCAATAAAATTAAACTAAACGTGCTAAAGTTAATCAAGGCGAAATATTTAATAAATAAATCATTTTGGTCTATAGCAGCCCACTTCTGGACAAATGTACATAGTACACGGTCTTCGCCTACCGCATTCAGTCCATCCCGGCTATCTTCTTTAGGTCAAATTCATACTATTTTCTAAATCTGTATTTTATTTTAAGTGACATTTATTTTTGAATCGCTACACTACAATTCTCCTTGACAAGGTGTGGATAGTAAGGAGGTTCCCGTCTTTGGAATCTTAATCATCGGTGTCTTCTAGCTTTACCTCTATCTCCACCCCGTCAAGAAAACAAAAGGTTTTAGCTCTATCTAATTAAGGCTTTTGCATACATATAGGTACAAATATTTTAATCTTTTAATGTATAATAAGATAATAACAATACTTTTTTAAATAATTAATTCGGTGCATTGTGCTTTAATCTGACTTTCTTGGTTCCTGTAGCTACCGTTTTCCTATTCAAAACTATTCATATCTGTATATCCGTTTCCTTCATTGCCAAGTTTCGTGGTCGAAAACACTCTTAGGCACTTCCAATTTATTTTTTATACTTTTATCCAAGATATAAACCAATTCTAAACAGACTAAACCACCAGCAGCCATTTTAAAACTATGTCGACGGTTTCCTCATGTGCCACCACTGCTCGCGGACGTTTGCCCACAAGACTAGATACTGTGGCCATCGAAGGACACCATAGCATAGGGCATAGAAGTCACCACAGCCGAACGGCGGCGGTTTTTCTAAATATAGCAAGTTCCTTTTTTAATTTCCTCAAGAGTCATTCAAAAATATGAATATATTTATTTATAAATTTACTGAAAGTTATAACTGTCATAACGATTAATCATCTTTTCATCAACACATTAACATCTAACAAAGAACTCAATGACGAGTAAAAGACTGATCATCGTCTGTGACAACCCTGAACTTTCTTTGAGTCCATAAATATGACGAATTTGTCACTCCGCGGTTCATTTCAACGAGATTAACTGAGTTATTATAATAATTTTACGACTAGCGATTAATTTCCATGCGAATTTTAGTGTTAAAGGAAGGTGTTGTGGAGGTATTGACGTAGATTTAGCCATTCGAGTTATTTTAACTACCTTCGTATGATGTCTGGTGCGATGGATTTTTATAAATTTTAAAATAAAACTACATTGCTCGAACTATTTCTATGGCCTTTTGGTGTCACCTTTTGAGACCCTTCACTAGTAGGAGAGTTTTGCTTCTGCACATTTGGGTGGCTGGACCGGAGTGTTAACCACAACCTCACGGAAAACCGGTGTTAATTAAACAATTCTGTTACCCGAGAGTCAACCACCCCAAATTTATTTCTCTAAATTATTTTGTGAGTATTGTGAAATGTCCGTCACTTGTAAAAGTAAACATAATAAATGCCGTTCTACCGTCTCTGCCTTCCTTGAGCGAAAGCGTGAGTATATTTAATTATGCATATTAACTGATATTACTGTTTAAACTTGTAATATTCTAACAGCTGGAGTTCGACGAAAAGGTTGTAACTAATTACTTAGACTAGCCTATTAACAGTCAGAACCGGTAACCACTTAACTAACAGATCAATCAAGGATGGTAGACTATCAGGGACAAGGATAGTAGAACTCTTCAGTTTCTAGTAAATCTTCGATTTTAATGATACATTTCATCGAACCACACATAATTTTAACAAAATTGATCATAAATTACGCTAAAGAGACAATTGTCTCTTAAAAAGATAGCAAAACTTTATACACACTACCGCTGATTTTATGTCTTTGATAAACTAGAACATGATATAACTCTGAAGATTTTCGTATAGTACGGAATGTCCTTGTGCAATCAAATTTAGTTCGGTTATACTTGGTTGAACAATGAGGGTATCAATAGAGGGTATCATTTAGAAATGATGGAATTTACCTTAACTAATATCTCCAGTGCCTCCACATATGATTTTTCCGTCTCGTACAATTCCACCACCACATGCGTTCGTGTGTCCTGTAACAAAAAGAAATTAACATTATTATAAATACTATCATAGGTGCGAAAATTTTACCAAATAATTTGTTTATGACAGAGGGAGGCAAAGGAGCTGACGGTTCACCTGATGACAAGTGACTAACGCCGCCCATGGACGTGTACAGGTCAGGAATCACAAGTGACTCGACGCAGTTAGCCAAGTGCACAAGTTTTTTTTTACAAACATCTCCCACATTAGGAATATATCCTGTGTGGCGGGGGACTTTACAAACATACATGAAACGGACACAAATAACACCCACACTCAGAACAACAATTTGTAGATCACACATAGTGTCTTCCAATGTGGGGATCGAACCCACAATACTCAGCGTAGTGGTAAGCGGTCAAAACAAGTCACACAACAACCACAAGTCACAAGTGCGTTGCTGTACTTTGACCACCTTAAACATAATCAGGTCACCAGTAGCCTTACACACTAGGTAAAGAGGAAGGAAAAAAAACTCACTCTTAAAAAAATATTTTTTTTTATGACAGGTTTTTCTTTGTTTTTTTTCGATTCTAAAAGTTCTGACATGATATATCTATGTTGTACGTATATACACAGTATGTGCTTAAATTAAATATAGTTATATTATCAATGGGATCAACCCAAACTCAACTCTCGCGTAAACGGGGCCAATATATGTAGATACTTATATACAGAGGTGTCGGTAACGGTAACTGTAACAGTTTCGCAAGTTCAATGGATTTTTCACATCTCAAAAAATACATTATTTTGTTTTTTGTTCGACGCGCCTAAATAAGTTTTAGCTTCGAAAATTGATTTTCTGTGAGGCCGTAGTATCACTCCGGTCGAGCCGGCCCATTTGGGACGAAGCATTGCTCTCCCAAAATTAAATCGGTTCCGATCTATCGCAGTATCCACTAATCGATACAGCTCTACTGTATCAATCTCCGCTTTCTCTTATTCCTATTATTCCACTTTATTTTAATGACCTTCACAAATGTTCTCCCAATATACATTAGGTATGTTGTGCGTAACAACTTACATCTATAGATTGTAATGAATTATTGTGGCCTCCACCCTTTGAAACAAATATCAAAAGTGACAAGAAAAACGTATGTGTGAGAACATTCCAAAATCTACTTAAATCAATACAAAACACGTAAACCCCTGAAGCTAGAGAAAGTAAAAGCTTGAAAGAAAATTATTTAAATGAAGCCATACAATTTTCATAAATATACACCAAGGATACACAGGGGTATAGCTACACACCTAAGTGGTACAGTCGGCGACAAAAATATTCATAATAAGAGTCTGTCCGTGTTAGGTATATGGTATAAATAAAATAACATATAAGGTATGGCATTTTGTGTGAATGCCTACATATCGAATAGGTATTTTAAGGAATAATGTTTGGTAATATTTTCACATTAGAGACGGTTTTACGGGTAACGATGTACGTTTCTGTGCCTCACAGGGCTCGGGTGTCACGAATATCAATGAGAGTCGATGTACGGAGAAATAACCCTGTAGATTTTATAAACTTTTGTTTTTTAGGAGATGCAAAACTGATAACAATTCTATGTTCAATTATTGTTATGAAATATTTTGCTGAGTACACAACGATTTCATGTTTTTTTTTTCTAATTGCGAATTAAACTTTTTTCCTTTTTCAAAAGTATTTTCTAAGCTCTCAGTATGTCTATTATAAACGGAAACCTTAGAAACTTATGTTCTTAAGGTTTCCATTTATAATCAGAGTTTATGTTCTTTGTACAAAATTCTAAATTTTGTTCGGAAACTTTTTTCCGAGGGCAAATTACACTGGTTGTCTTAAGTACGTAAATACTTTTTTAATTAGCAAAATCGTACTGAACACACAGTACTTAAGAAAAGAGTTTTGAGTTCCCGAGAAGTTTTAGCGTATAATTTTATTATAAAGTGCTTTTCGCAATCTAAACAAAACCTCAGAAAGTATTTTAAAGGCTTAGCAAACATTCCTTAAATTAAAGTAAAAAAAACCTACATACACACCCACATATATTGTAAGCTTTTCAATTTAGATTTTTCATATGAATGTTACTCTTAAGTATTCATTGAAAATTAACTCATGTTTCAAAGTATATTTTCTTGAGTAGGCTAGACTAAGACCTAAAAAGGTCTAATGTGTTATGTTTCACAGAACATTCTTTTTATCGTGGTTAATCATATGCTTCTCAAGTAATGAAGACGTAGCTTTGTTTTAAAATTAAAATGAAATGATAAATGTCTTATGGCCAGTTCAATGGTAGTGTTTATATAAATTTATTTAAATTTTTATTTCAATGCTAAGTCTCTGTTCATATGATCGCCATATTGGTGTACAATAAAGAATTATCTATCTATCTATTTTAAATATGACTTCTTTTTCATAATTCTAAATCAATTTAAAACAATTCATAGTTGTGTTGTATTTTCTGAAAGTATTAATATGAGTATGTAGATGTTTCACTGAATCGCACTAGGGCTGCGCCACAGAAATCACCATGTCAATATTGAATAATGTATCAGAGCGTTACTGTTATAACTACACTTCGGGGACTTTTATGTGTTAATTTAACACACACCTGTAATCGAATACGGTGGGCGTTTCACTCTTGGCGCAATCCTAAACAAATATAGATTCTGGCGTATTACGAAGCTGGGTCTACCTGTGAACTTTTGCAATGAATATCACATTTTAGTGGCGAACCTTTTCTCCAAAGGGAAAAACTGTTTTCTTTAAAAACAAAGAAATTTTTGTTTGGCTTAGCTGTAGGGTACAGATATTTTGCCTACATTGCGCTCTGTACGACCTATGTTAAATCCCTTTTTAGTACCATTTAACTGTACAAAATAAAATGGAATACAATTTATACAAACCTTTACAGTTACATATTCATATCGTACATGTAAACTTTTTTCGATTGTCTGATACATATTGATAATGGTTTGAACATGTTTCTTAAGCTGAAATTGGAATTTGAAATAAGTTGTCATTAAGATAAGATCAAGAGTAACTATGTTTTCTTTTCCTTATTAGAATTTTAAACAGGCGAATATTTTTGTTTGTTCTATATATTTTGTAACCTAGTTGGGTTATAGGTTCAAATTTAAATACTTCGTATGATGTTGACACATTCAAGCTAACTGCTTGTTAAAAGAAATTGTTCCCACCTGTACATTTTAAGATACGACATACTTTGTTAAACTAACATCAAACTTAATACTATCTTAAATAAGACATAGGTTTCAATCATCGTGACACAGATTACCACAATATTACCGTTGACTGCCTTCATTACACAATTCAATTACAGTGTTGTAGCGAATTGCGAACCAGGAATGGAAAACTATTTATTTAGGGCTGATCCACACCTATTCATTTTTTTGCTTTAAATTTTACGGAAAAGGACCGAAGAAGGTACGAAAAAACGATGTGGGTTAGAGAAGAGAGAATACTTCCATAAATGTGAAAGTCAGTTTCTTTATTTGTATGTTTGTTTGTTACGCTTTCTTGGCTAAACCACTCAAATTGATCCTGTCGGTCTAGTGGTTAGTGACCCTGACTGCTAAGCCGGAGGTCGTGGTTTCGATTCCCACCCAGGACAAATATTGTGTGATGAGCACGATCATTTGTTCTGTGTCTGGGTGTAATTTATCTATAATATGTATGTAATTAAAAATATATAAGTATGTTTTTCCGCAGTCTGGTTACCATAGCACAGGCTCTGCCTAGTTTAGGATAAGACGGCCTTGTGCGAGATGTGTTAGGTATATTAGGTATATATTATATTTTAATAATAATAATTTATTGTTTATCTCCCACGGAACAGCAATACATTAGACATTTCAAAACAAACTTTGAAGACATTCACTATTCACGACTTGTTTTTCTTTTCAGATCAGCTTCAACATTTCAAATTACAATATTCTCATTCCAATTATATTCCCGTAGAAAGTTTCATTTTCAAATTAAACGTGACGCTAATTTTTTTTCCCCGAGCCTTTTTTCCCTAACTAGATAAGGGTCGGTTTGAAGTTATATTATTATATCTGATAGCCTTGCGTAAATATATCAGACTGGTATGACCACAAAGTATTTTCAGCTTTAAGGAAAGGTCTACAGAGATAGAAATACCTGAATCACGTTAACATTTTATTTCACTTTTACACATTCACACTTCACAACGGGTCAGTACTGCCTTTGTGACTTTATAGTAAGAAAGTAGGTTTCTCTTACTTAAGTTACTGTCTATCTTTTTATTGTAATAAAATGCTAGTGAAGAAAACTTTGATTTTATGATTCTTTATTTTTGGTTATATACAGGGTGTAACGTCGTAACGAATGCTGAAATAGTGTATTCAGACCATTATTCTGAGTCGTCGTCGCCTGTATATTGCCTTACGAACCAGCATTAATTGTAAATATAGATGTTGATAATTAATTGAGCTATAGGTTGGTATACTTCTCTATTTATCTCCATCTCTATCTATCTTTATTAAGGTTTATTTCCAATTTTGTACAGTTTTCAACCCCTAGTCCAAAATCTGATTATTACATTTCAGTTGTTAGTTAAGCCTTTTAAACTAAAGAAATCTTAAGTTGTTGATAAATAAAACGATAAAAATAATATTAGAGTCACACATTCTTACACGGCTGTCAGCTACCAGACAGCTGATAAACATACTTATATATTTCTGAATATAAACATATAAAAGAAATGATGCTCATCACTTAATTATTTGTCCTGGGTGGAAATCAAACCCACGAACTTTGACTTCAGGATCACTAACCACCAGGCCAACAGAACAGGCCAGTCAAACTAAACTATGCATTTCAAGATCCACACACAGCCACAAAAGAACAGACTAACTGTATCTACAAGAGCTAATGTTTCTTAGGCACACTTAAAAGGACTTATAAATTTAGCTAAGTAATATAAATTTATAACACTTCGCCACCTCATTATCACCTTCATGATATATTACACAAAGTTCCTGGTGTAGTTCATGTAAGGGACAATGTACACTACATGCATTAATAATGGTTTTGTCTCTTTATTTAGGACTAGCTTTTGCCCGCGGCTTCGACTGCGTAAATGCCGGTTATCGCGGTAAAAAGTAGCCTATGTCCTTTTTCAAGAATCAAAGTATCTTCATACAGAATTTCATCTATATCGGTTTAGCGGTTTTTGATTCCCCATACAAACCTTTACCACCCTTTCCACCCCCTTAAAGGATGTTTTCTAGCGTAGAAACTATAAACCCTATTTCCTTTCCCGGGACTCGGACAATCTCTGTTCGAAATTACATCTAAATCGGTTCAGCGGTTTAAGCGTGAAGAGTTAACAGACAGAAAGAAAGACCGACAGACAGACACTCTTCGCATTTATAATATTAGTATGGATAAGTATGGATAGCTGTGAGATTACTTGATCATATACAAATCACTCAAAATGTGTGATAAAATGGCGTCGAAAACAAAAGGATTAGATACTAGCGTTTGCCCGTTAGTGTTTAGTAGGAAATTTTTGAAGCTTAAGTGCAATTTGTTTTGAAAACGTAACAAACAAACTCATATACACTTTTATGCAGTTGCGATTATAATATACTAGTTTTTTCCAAGCCCTTCCCGCATTTATGTCGATTATCGCAATAAAAAGTAGCCTATGTACTCGTTGATAATGTAGGTTTCAAATAGTGAAAGTTTTTTTTTTTAAATTGGTTGAGTGGTTAAGGCTTGAAAGCGTATCAAACAGACAAACTCACTATTACATTTAATAATATAAGTATGGATTTTGATCAGTGCTCCTAAGAGTTGTACCGTAATATTACATAGACGACAACCTTCCTCAACACTCTATCATATTAAGAAAATATATACCTACTCTCATTCTAGAGATTGGGCTGTAAAAAAAACACAGACAAACAAACTACACAACTTGTAAATGCGATTACATTCCTTTATTACAAACGTTAAGTTACAATCGTTACTCCTTATCCTTAATTTTGCAAGGACATGGGTGTTTAAATAATGACCTCTAAATCAATACTCATGATCTTGACTTACCACAAGATCAACCAGCATAAATTCATCATCATCATCATCAACAGCCAGGACATAGTCCCCTTCTTAGAAAAGAGGTTTTGGCCTACTACACTGCTCTGGCCGAGCGGATTGGTACTGTCGTCCTGCGTAGTTTGCTCCCTTAGACGGCTCTTACGACACCCACGGGATAATAGAGTAATACTCCGTATTCTTAATCTGTCATCACATGGACATAATAGCATAAATTATAGTTTAGTAAAACTAAGAACATAATATATAATTTTAATAAAAAGGATCACCGACTACAATTCTTTTACATGATTATGAATTGTAATCTGTAATCTAATTGTATTCTTCATTCATTCATTTTCAACCCTTTAGTGTGATATTTTATGTTCAAATTTAAATGGGAACATATAACATACATTTCATTTAATCATTTATTTCATTGAGGATTTCATTGATGGATGAGCGATTTGTGTATCCTACATAAAATTGCGAAAGGTTCTCTAGATTGTCAACTGATATGTTGAACTTCAAGACGCCGACGCGATCTGTGCCACAACTGTTTACTATACCAACTAGCAACAACAATGCACAACAACAACACAACAATCCTGTTTTTCAAATGAGTAGTCGTTATAACGATATATGTTCTCAAATATATATTTTTAATGATAGTATAAATGTATTCAAGTGCTTTTTACATAAAACTGAAATATAAAAACCTATCAATGTAAAATTATAGTAACACATTTGTAAATATAACTAATTAGTCAATTTCCTGCATTTCATAATCGTTTTTTTCTTTTTGCGTTAGTTTAACACCTAATTGAAGCTCTACAAGCAACGCGATTGTGAATGATGTGTATAGTTTTAATTGGACTTCAGATTTGAAATTGTACGCTGTTACTTGTTACTGTGTTGGGCATGATCTGTTGTCTGTAACTGTACCAATTAAGTAAAAATGAAATAAAAATAAAATTAGCTTCAAATGTAAACTTGCCGCACCCAAATGTCGACTGCAACAAAATGCCTAAGCCTACTGCAAGTCCGCCTAATGCAATTTATATTATTTGTAGCGAGTATTTACAAAATAAATAAAACTAACGTTCAAATGCCGACACTCCGTAGCAATGTGAAAAAGCCCTTAGGAGGTATCTACAACATGGTACATGACACTTTCACCCGCTGTGAACCATATAGGATATAATTAAGACTACAAGTTGTAATCGTGTGTTAAATGACGTAAATCTGTTACGTCATTTGTTAGTATTGCATGTTTGTGCTCAATTTTATATTAAATAGGTGAGTTGGATAATTGGCTCTCACAACATAAATACTCGTAGTACTGGCATATTAAGGAACTTTGTGTAGACAAGTTAGCTATTATAAATATAGCTTTTGAACGTGGCTTCTCTCACGTTAATTAAAGTATTTTTATGAGAGACTTCATCAAAAAGAAAAAAGTTTTTAATTTAGCTATATTTTAATGTTTGTAACCTCAGAACTCATTTATTTTAACTAACTAACCGAACTACGCCAACTAATTAAAAAAAATCCTTTTTTTTTAAAGGGTACTTTTCGTTTGGTGTCATTTAAATTTGAAGAATAAATCCCACCCCTAAGGGTTAAAATTAAGGAACGAAGACTAAAGTTTGTTGCAATTCAACATAATGTATTGAAATCGATAATAAGTTTTTGAAGTATTAACTCTCTTTAATGTCATTTGTCAGTCAATTTCTCTCGGGTAAAACAGACTGTAATAAAAATTTCTCTGTGACAGATGTCATTTAGATTCGTTCAGCGACGATTGAATAACAAATATCAATTTGTCCACATCTTCGCATATATAAGGGTTATAAGATAATACATGGGTATAGTTGAT